TGATCCCAATTCTACCCTGCAAACCTGGTTAGACCAGAGGATGCACAGCGGTACAGATGGGAACTGGAAACACAGGGAATCCAGGACAGATGAACCCCTCAGGACTAGCGGTGAGAGTGGCGATACCAGGAGGGGAGGTGGGGTAGAAAGGGGGAATCAATCACAAGGATCTACAAAAAAACCCTCACATCTTATTAGAGAGCAGCAATGGGTGTCCTATGAGCATTGCATTGGGAAACCATCTCTGTGCTCATCCCTTCAGATTCCCTTTGTTTCAAAAAACAATACGCATTTAAAAGAATGCAATTTGAGTCCATTGAGGAGGTTGAAACTACCATTTTTAAGTGGCATAAATTGAAGTGTGGAAAATTTTTGAGAATGGTTACAGAGATGAAAACACTGCCCTCAGAAATGTATACGTGGGGATGAAAGATATGCTGAGAGGGCATAACTGCATGATTTGATATTTTTATTTAATCAGGGTTCTGTGATGTTTATCAATACTTGTTGACTTGGTTTTATATTTTCATGTATACACAAAACAAGGTGCCTGGGTAGCACAGAGGCATATACATTGGACTGCAGCTGCAAGGTCTGCAGCTTGAAACAGCCAGGTCTCCAGCAGAAGAAAGGTGAGGCTTCCTTCTCCCGGAGAGATTGGCAGTTCTGGAGACTCACAGGGAGAGTTCTGCTCTGCCCTATGGGGTCACTATGAGTTGGAACCAAGTCAATGGCGGTGAGCTTGGTTTGATATATGTGTGTATGTTTGTATATTACATATAATATTTCTATATGATTTACAAAGCATTCACAAGTAATTTACTTGCTGGATCTATCTTTTCTCCATTAAATTGCTTTTACACCTTTATCAATAATCTATTTGGCATATTTGTGTGGGTCTTTTTTCTTCTTTTTTTCAGTGTAGGAGCCCTGGGGGCATGGTAAATTACACATAGCTGGTGACCACAAGATCAGTGGTTCAAAACCACCAGCAGCTTCATGGGAGAAAGATGAGGTGCTCTAATCCCATAAAAAGTATAGTCTCAGAAAACAACAGAGCCTGTTCTCCTCCAAATACTCATTGCCATCAGGTTGAGTTAGAATCATAGCGTATCCTTTAGGATGGGGTGGCGCTGCCCAGGTGGATTTTGCAGACTGTAACTGTTTACAGGCGCATAAAGCATCGTCATTCTCCAGTAGGGCAGGAGGTGGTTTCTAACTGCTGGCCTTGTGGGTGGCAGTCTAAAGCACCAAGCCACCAGGGACAGTTTACTCTATTCTACAAGGGGGGACCCGCCCCCCCAAAAAAAACCCAACAACCCTGGATTTTTTTCAAAGCTATGTATTTATGTATTTATCTATTTACAAAACAATCTTATCACCTTCAAAATACTCTGTTACACTTAGTACATTTGTCATATCTATAATTCCATCCTTTGAAATATTTCTCAAAGTCTTATTGATGGCTGACAGCACCTGCCCTGTGTTTTTCACCTCTTCTACATCGTCACATCCCTGTCCTTTCAGGTCCCTCTGCATTTGCCGAAACAAAAAAGTCATTCCAAGCAAGGACGGGTGAGTCAGGCATGCAGGGCAAGAGAGACATGCTGTTTTTTGGCAAAAACTGGTGCACTGAGATGAATGCGTGAACAGGTTCATTGTCATGGTGGCAAAACCAGTCCGCCATCTGCTACAAATCAGGTCCTTTTTGGTCTGTTATGCAGTCTTTTCAGAACCTCTAAATCAGTGGTTCTCAACCTGTAGGTCGCAACCCCTTTGGGGGTCGAACGACCCTTTCACAGGGGTCGCCTAAGACCATCAGAGAACACATATTTCCGATGGTCTTAGGAACTGAGAGACCGTTCCTCTATCTGTCTCCAGGCGGGTCCGCCCACATGCAGCTACGCCCACATATGAGTACCTACCTGACGTGAAGACTGTTATCCATGCTACACCATGCTTCCAGACAAAATTTCATTGATTTGTCATTAGAAACAAATATTTCATAATATATAATTCCATATTGTTTTGTGAGTAATCACTATGCTTTAATGATGTTCGGTTTGTAACAATGAAAATGCATCCTGCCTATCAGATATTTACATGATGATTCATCACAGAATCAAAATTACAGTTATGAAGTATCAATGAAAATAATTTGATGGTTGAGGGTCAGCACATCATGAGGAACTGTATTAAAGGGTCGCGACATTAGGAAGGTTGAGAACCACTGCACTAAGTAGAATGCTTTATTACAGTCTGACCCAGTGGAAGGAATTCCAAATGCACTATCCCCCTCACATCAGAACAAAAATGAGCATCGCCTTGATCTTTGATTTCACTTGATGAGGTGAAATTGCTTTTATGAAAAAAAATTCACTGTGACCAGAGAGAACTTTCCTAGGCGACACCACTGGGTGCACTAACTCAGAATGATTGCTTGATGCTCCCTTAGTGGGAAAAATCTGTACTATGAAAGCGCTGCTTAGTGAGCTTTTTTCCTGGTTGTGGTTTTTTATGGTGGGTATATGTTCACTATGAACAGAAATCTACTTCATGGTAGTGTGTGATTTTATTTTTGAGTTTGCTGTTCTGTATTATTGATTAATGTGCCTCTCCTGTCACACAGCTCTGATTATTCTAAATATGTAACAAATACTGCAATTAGGTAGAATGATCCCTTCCACTTTATTCTGTGGCCTCACAACAAATCATGCTGGAAAATCCTGAGTAAAGGGTGGGGCCGCCTTGTCCTGCATGCCAAGAAAAATCTAATAGAGTTCTCCAAGATCCACCTAGAAAGGATGAAAAAAGGCCAAGAAGAGGGCTGGAATGTTTGTCCCTTATTGGATAACCACGGAGTGCTCTCTCCATCCCCCTCCTCCCACCAGTGTCACATAGAGAACCTGACCTCCATCTCCACTTGGCCAAATAGCAAGCCATCCCCTCACTCCCTGCTCCTGTCCTGTCAGGAAGTGCTAGTCAGAGACGCAGATCCCTCACCATCATCCACAGGTAACGCTGAAGCTAATGGAGACACAGGCAAAAATGTATTTAAATGTTCACAGGGTGGTCCAAATTCAAGGAAAAGAAATGGAAAGATGGATATTCCATCTTTTGATGGAAGAAATTTCAAATTGTAAATAGGCATATGGGGTAGATAAGATTGTTGAGGACATCAATAGAAACAATCTTTCATAGGAGTCAAGGGTCTCATTTATAAAATAGGCATTAAATCAGATCATTTGCTTTTAAAATCCTTTGATATTTTATAAATCAAAATGTTTTTATCACTAAAATGATATAGCATGGGTATCATTAATTTAATTTTCTATTACTTGCTTTGATTTTTTTTCACATTTTTCCTTCAGTTTTTTTTTGCCTTGATTATTAATCATAATACTTTTCAAGTTTAATTCTGGGTTAGATTAGAAAAGACTTTAAGCTATTATAGTGGCTACTATAAAAGTTATATTTTGTGAGGCTTACAGAAATATAATAAAAATTAAAGAACTTATTGTATAATTTTTAATAACCTGTGTGTTTTCTAAATTAGTCACACTCCTTGATACAGTCCATGGAAGATATACTCTCTCTAGCTATTCAAATATGGCTTTCAGACTTATAGCCTCCTTCATGAATCTTTGCTACTATAACTTATTAAACTACATTTTTTGAGCTTGAGAAATCTCTTTAATTTCGATTTACTTCTCAAGCTGCATTCTGGTTATTATGATTGAAATTAGTTTTAAACCTTTTTTAACTCTTTATGAAAACAGAAGCTAATTCCAATTTGTCACCTTAGGAAATTTGGATCTTCCCATGGACTTTCTGATTTTTATATGTATTATCATGATGTAGTTACTTAGTCTGCAAGTGTGAGTCAGATTTTTATTCTTCTCCTTAATTATCCATAAGCTAACTCTTCAGAAAAATTCCTGCTCAATCTCTTAATAATTTCCAAAGCTTTGATTTTATTTTGTTTTTATCTAGTTGGTCTTGTCATCAACTTCTACTTGAACTTCTGGCATCCTGTAATTCTTATAGGCCTTCAGTCTCTTTCTACTTGATTTTGCACAACTTTCATCAATGCACTTATAATGGTTAACATACTATATACATACATACATAGACTCTGCTTAAAGTCCTCCATACAAGGTCCTAATGTATTATTTTGATATGTTCTTCCATTTCCCTGCTATGTGAAATGTCTACTTCTGTCAGAGATATAATCTCTCAAACCTTGCACAGTCATATTCTGACCTAGTCCCATGTTATTCCCATGACTTATTACCCATTCATCTGTGTGTGTGTGTGTGTGTGTGTGTGTATATATATATATATATATATATATATATATATATATATATATAAAATTATTGGCATGTCTTACACAATCCAATATATCTATTCACATACAATTCTGTGGTTCAATCCCATCAAATGGGGTTATACAACCACCCAATGTTATCAGCTTCCCATTCCACCCTTTCCCACTCTCTTCCTGTACTCTCATGGACCCATTACTCCTGTTATTGTTTTGTTACTGTTTCTTTTTCCCCCCCATTTCCCCTGCTCTTCCCCTTTCCCAAATAGAAACTCCTGTTACTATTTCTGAAGAGTTATCTGTCTTGACTTGCATGTACTGAACAGCCTTAAATATACAATGCACATACACATATCTAACATGATTAATGAGGTAAAGCAAAAATCTTAATAGGAAGGGGAGGAAATATCTTTAAACCTAGAGGTTATTTATGGGATTTACCAGTGCCATACCATACCCTGGATGTTTCACGTTCTGTGTGCCCTTCTGTAAGGGACAGTCCAATGACCTTGGAGGTGACCTTGGGTCTCCATTTCATCCATGCCCCTTCACCTTGAGTTGGTTGTGTGGATTTTTGCCCAGAAATATTTCCTTCCACTTGAATTCTGATGCTGCGTGAAGGTTCAATATAAGGTTCATGTGGCTAAACATTTATTTATTTTTAATTATTCCAGTACTGGCTTTGATAGAACATATGCTGAAACTGGAACAATACAGAGAAGACTAGCATGACCCTGTGCAAGGATGACTTGCAAATTCGCACACCATTCCCTACTTTCCTTTCTTAAATAGTGTTCAGTTATTTAAGTTTTTAAGTTGTGTAAGTGAACATCTCATGAATGTTAGTCTAAAAAACTTTCCTATATATAAATAGTTTCTTTTTTCTGAATAGTACTCTGAATTCTATGCCATTGGCTAGATTAATGATACTATTATTGGAATTATCAAATGTTCCTCAACAAGCTGATAATACTGTCTCCAGAGTGGACCAGGGATCTATATAAATATTATATATACAAATGGATTTTGAGCTCATACTTAATCAAAAAGCCTATTCTAAAAACAATTAGTCCTTATAATGGGGCCCTGCTCAATACTTGCCCAAATGAAGTGATAAGTGAAACATGGGTGCTGTAGTGCAAAATGTAGTGAAATCATCAGATGGTGTCTGGCTATCAGAAAGAATAGCATCTGTGGTCTTACAAGCTTGTTTTAAAACAAGCAGTTCTTATGAATGAAGAGTCAGCTATGTTCACTCTGGAAGGAAACACTAGCCCATGTGACCCAAGGATTCCAAATAATAAAATCTAAGATCAGAGGAAGGAATTGTTAGAGCTTAAATTCTCTAACAGCTGGATTGCACAGGGCTAGGAATGACAATAAAAGCCCAAAATCCATTTGCAGTATCCACACAGGGACTTGGCTTCCTTTAATTCCCACAGACATTGACCAGGGAGATGAATAGTCTTGTTCTCAGATATAGTAGATTGGAAAAGAGATTACTGCAGATATAAATAGGTTGAAATTTTACATAATTTCATATGTTTTCCCTTTTGATCCATTTTTAATTTGTTCTAGTTACAGTTATCTTCTGCTTTCTCTTGAGTTGAGACTTTTTGGTATTCTGTTTTGTTGTCACTGTTGAGGATTTTTGTCTGATGTTCTTCCTATGAAATCTGGAATAGGTATATCTATAGAGACAGTAACTAGATTGACAGTTCCATAGGGTTAAGCCATAGGGAGATTATGGGGTAATGGGGAGTTAATAGTAATGGATAAAAAGATGAAGAAAATGATCTAAAATTGATTGAGGTATAATTGCACAACTCTTTTTAATATACTGAAACCACTGAATTGTGTGGTGTATAAATTACACGTCAATAAGATGGTTTTAAAATTGTTTCTGAAGGAATCAAAGCTTTCCAGTAATTACAGGTATGCAAAGAAAATAATTAGTGTATGGTACAGAGGAAGTATGATCTTGAACTTTTAAGATGAGAGCCTATAACAGAGTAGACATCTACAAAGAACAAACAAAGGGCTAGGCATAAATTCTGACCAAGATTACTATTTTAAACTGTACTTGATCCTTAGAAATCTTGGTTTATAAGAACCTTTAAATGTGTTTTACACATATCATGTTATTATATGCTGAAATATGTTCACTGAAAAGAATGACTCAGTAGTATAGAATAAATAATAAAATAAGAAGTGACAATATTTTAAACAATTTCTTTTCAATTTAAAAATAACTTTGCATTGTTTTTCTTCAAGAAGTTTTCTTTCTTTTTTATTTAATTTTATTTTTGGTAAAAATATGCACAGTAAACCCCACCCCCATTCCACAATTTTTAGACACAATGATTGTGACCTAATAACAATAGGAGTAGCACTGATGGTACAGTGGTTAAGGATTCAACATTAAGCCAAAAGGTAGGTGACTTGAAATCATCAGCTCTCCATGAAAGAAATAAGTGACAGGGCCTTCTTAAGAAAGACACTTAGCCTGGGAAACTCAATAAGGTATTTCTACTGTGTCCTATGGGGTTGTTATGAATCAGAATTGACTAGACAGGAAAGGGTTTGAAATAGCAGTAAGTCTATATCATCCAACTTTGTGATGCAAAAATTGAGAATATAAAGTCAAAATAATTTGCTACATTGCCAAAAGTATACTATACATTTAAGTAGATAGAATATTATAGTATCAAATATATTATATACTACTACATACTTAAATATATTTTGTAGGCAGTATATATCAGTTTCCTTCTCTGTACATATCATCAAATTACATGTTTAAAAAAAATAACACAAGACAATTAACTTGAAAAGAATATTTTCAAGAAATAAAAATTACAGTGACAGAATAAAATGGCTAAATTTATTTTAGCAAAGTATTTATAATATTTAAAAACCTATTAATTATTAATAGATATTGCTAACTCTTTCAGTGTTAATACCCTTTGCTTGTTTCTCTAATACAGGTTCCAAAACCCACTACCATGGTGTTGATTCTGACTCCTGGTAATCCTCCACAAGTTTCTAAGAATATAAATCTTTACAGGAATTGACAGCCTCATCTTTCTCCTGAGTAGCATTTGATGAGCATGAACTGCCCACCTTTCAGTTAGCAGTTCCACACTTATCTGAGAGAAGCACCAGGGTTCCTGAGCAGAGGATAAATCGAAGCTGTTGTTGGCAGTTCTCAGGAGTCTCTTTGATTTCCTTTTCCCCCCCACCCCCCACCCCCGACTTAGCAGTGTCAGAGAGGCACTGTGGCTATCATGTGTGAAATATGCATTGTCATTAACAAGTGGTAAATGTGATATGAATTATCAGGAAAGCACCTTCCATAGGAATTACTTTAATGAATTGAAAACTAATTTTGCAAATGCTGTCTTGCTTACTGATCAGTGCAGGAGCACAAAATCTATGTATTAAATTACCAAATCCCAGCGATCTAAAAATGCAATGAGAGCATCTACATGAAATTGTGTAAGTTCTGTGACATGGGAAATATTTCACACATAAATCACAAATAACACATTTAAAAGTCATATTCTGTTTTCAATAGACATCTATAATTTGTTTCTGAGAAATACTCGGGGGTATAAAATTTAAAGTTGCCTGTTCAAAGTATCGATCTATCTGAAAAAAATTTTATTATTATGAAGAGTTTATCCCAGGATGATCCTAATTCCTTAGGAGAGATATACAACAACATCTTCCTTTCAAATACTTAAACTTCAGATTCTAAACAGAAAATAAAATAGAAAGAACCTAGAACTATAGTCACTTTGGATAAACCACTACAAAATCATTTCTATTATGATCCTTTCCTAGCTAACAACATTTAAATTTACTTATAGGTTGGGGCCCAAATCAATGGGTCAATGTTTAGCAATTCAGTGTTGAATTATCCTATGGACAAAATATTGAATGAGTAAGTAACCATATAAGCATCTAAGCTAGGTGGCAGAAATGCAGTCACTAAACCAAAAATTATGGGCAAGCATACTATCATGTCGGGATGTAGCATATGATCAAGGCCCAATGATATTGAAAGAAGATATCCAAGCATCCCTGAACTCACTGGTGAAAATTAAATTCCAAGAAATGATAGAATATAATTTGAGCTGATATTCAAACAGATTTACTCTTGGAAGTGCTCATTTGTCTATGCAAAAATAATCAGAAGACAGCTGCCTGGCCAAATGACTGGAACATATCAATAGTTATTCCCATTCTGACAGAATGTAGAAAGAAGCGATCAAAAATGGTTACAGCAGTGAATCAACAGTGATCTACCAGAAATTCAAACTGAATTCGGATGGTGACATAGAACTATAGGTACTATTATTGATGCTAGTGGAGCTGGGTTGACAGCAGAGAATATGAGAAAGATGTTTACCTCCATTTATTGTGCATGCAAATGCATGCAACAGTATGACGCATAACAAATGAATCATTATTTTTGCAAAGAATGAGAATCCTAGAACACTTAATTGTATGTTTGTGCAACCTGTACCCAGACTAAGAGGAAATTCTTTCAACAGAACAATGGGGGATCATGTGATTGAAAATCAGGAAAAGTGTGTACTAGTATTATATCCTATCACCATATTTATTCAATTTGTATGTTATACAAATCATCCAAGAAGCTAGATTGTATGGAAAAGAATGCAGCCTCAGGATTCGGGGAAGACTTATTAACAGCATGCTATGTGCCAATGACACAATTTGCTTGCTGAAAGCAAAGAGGGCTTGAAGTACTTACTGATAAAACTAAGGACGACAGCCTTTTGTATGAATTACATCCACCAGAGAAAGCAAAAACTTCACAGCTGGCCTAATAAACAGCATCATAATAAATGGAGAAAAGGTTGTTACAGACTTCATTTTACTTGGACGCACAATTCATGTGCAACCGCGTAGAGTGATGATTCTGCTCTCTAACACTTTAAAGAGGTTGCAGCGCCTTGAGGACAAAGGTGCGCTTGGCCCAAGCAATGGTAGTTTCAATTTTCTCGTATGCATGGAAAGATAGAAACTGAATAAAGAAGACCATTGAAAAATGATGCTGTGGGATTGTGGGATTGAACTAAATATTTTCAGTATAACACGTACTGCCCAAAGATCTAACAAATCTGTCCTGGAAGAAGTACAGCGAGAATTTGAGAATGATGAGATTTTGCCTCGTGTACTTCCAGAATGCACTCTGGAGGGACAATTATCAAGGAGCACATCGTGTTGAGAAAAGTAGATGGCTAGTGAAAATCGGGTCGATTCTTAAGGATGGATTCCTGTGTTTGAATGGGTTCAAGCATTAGGACTAATTTTGAGGACAGTCCATGATCAGACAGGGTTGGCAAATCAAAAGCAACACAAATCACTGTCATCGAGTTGATGCTGACTCACGGTGACCCTATAGGAGAGAGCGAACTTCGAAAATGGAAATCGTTATGAGTAGAAATCCTCATTTTTCTCCTGAGAAACAGGTACTGGTTCTGAACTATTAGTCTTGTGATTAGCAGCCCGACCTCTAGTCCACTATGCTCCAAGGGTGCCACAAAGCAACACAACTCATGTGATTGTGAGAATCATTGATGGTTACCCTGGATAATTCAGACTCATGATGATCCCATTTGTTATGGAATAGACCTATTGTGTAGCTTCTTTTTCTTTTACTGTAATGTTAACAGAAGCAGAGCACAGTTCTATCATCTGCACCCAATATATAAGTCACTCTAATAGAATTGCATTAAGACAGATGATA